CTTCTGAGCTTTCTGCTCGGGCTTCTAGTGGCTGTTAGATGTCGCATGTAGACCCAGCACAGGACCGTCCAGTGCAAGGTCCAGTAGCGACTGGACGAATGTCGCCCACCTGTGACCTCACACAGTGAGAGCTGCCGGGGACTGCGGTGCCCTGAGCTGGCTGTGCCATCCAGGCCGCCCTCCTTCCGTTTCCAGTTCGTCCTGTCTTCCTCACAGCCCTGCTCAGGCTGCCCCACGTCCCCTGCCCGCCCAGGTCCCCCATCCGCCCTGCTCCCCGCCCTCGGCTCCCCCTGACCTTGCCCTGCAGCCTGACATTGTGCCCCCCACGGCCGTGCTGGTCCCCCCACCCCGCCCTCCAGGGACCTGCACGTCTCCTGCGAGGGGCTCGTCGGGGACTCAGCGTGTCTGTTGGCCCCTGTCTGCGCCCACACAGCGTCCGCCCGCGAAAAGCCCCTGCAGCAGAAGGTGGGGGTGTGGGGGGGTGTCCCCGCCATCGCTCCAGGGCCTGCGTTTGCCAAGAGCTCCGATGCAGCACCTGAAACCAGGTGCACGACGGGTCCCGCGAGACGGCGGAGATCCGGGCAAATGACCCTTAAAATGGATGCTTTAAAGGCCTAATAGTAATATGAATTTCTAGGTGAGCCTTGCCCAAAAATTATGGAAAGAGAGTTTGCACGCCGTGTATTTGCTTGGGCTGCTGTAACCAAGGACCCCACAGTGTGTGGCTTAAACAGTAGTTTATTCTGTCATATCCTGGAGGCTGATGTCCGAGACGCAGGTGTGGGCAGGGCCGGTCCCTCCCGGGGCCTCTCTCCTGGGCGTGTGGACGCTGTCCCCTCCCCGTGTGCTCACGTGGTCCCTCTGCGTGTGTCTGTGTCCTCGTCCCCTCTTCTTATAAGGACACAGTCCTATGGTGACCTCCAGGGGCTTTGTCAGAGTTCAGTGTCCGAGCTGCTTCTGGCCGCGTTGTTGGCCAGAGGCTCATGGAAGCCACGTCCAAGGACACGCTGTGTCCGGGAGCGAGCCGGCCCCAAGGCCAGCGCAGCCGACGCACAGATGGTTTTAGAAGCGCTGAGGGGCTCGCCCACCGTGCAGGCTGCAGACTGCGTCACGCTTCCCGGCGGGGGCTTGTCGTCCGCCCGGGACCCAGGGCCCCGTGACCGCGTCTCACCCTTTGTGCTGATCCTGGCGTCTGCAGGTGGCTGGACCCAGAACCAGGGTTGTCACCGTCGGCCCTGCTGACATCTGGGGCCAGGTAGCTCCCTGCATTGGCGGCTGTCCTGTGTGCCGGGGGATGGTGAGCAGAGCCTGCGGTCTCTACCCAGTGCCTGCAGCTCCCCCCCCAACCCGCAGTGGTGACAATGAACAGTGTCTCCAGATGTCATGAGACATGTACCTGCAGGCAAGGTCATCCTCAGGTGCAGACCACTGCCACAGGTGGGTAGGTAGACAGATAGACGGACGGATAGATGGACGGATGGAGGGATGGATGGACGGATGATAGATGGCATACATAGACGGATAGGTCGAATAACATATAGATAATTGACATATAGGTGATTAATAATAGATGGGCAATAGATACATAGATACATAGATATAGATAGATTAGTGAATTGGATAGATAATTGATAGATAGGTAATAAATGATAAATAGTTGGATGGTAGATACATAGATAATTGATGAAAAATATTCATGGTAGACAGATAGATGATGATAGATGATAGATAAATAGGCACATAGATTATAGATAGATGTTGATAAATAGATAGATGATGATAGATAGATGATAAATAGATAGATGGATGTTGATAGATAGATAGTCAGACGGTACATACGGAGAGTCTCCCCTTGGGCACTGTGGGTGTCGGGGGCTGGGGACTCTGAGTGGGGAGCCCTGTGCACCGTGGGGTGCAGAGCAGCGTCCTTGGCCTCTACCCGTGGACACTGGTTACAGCTCCCGTCGTCCGAGCCATGAGGACCGGAAGTGTCCGCAGGCTTCGCCACATGCGCCTTGATGGGACAGACCCCGTTGAGCACGTCTGCAGGGCAGGCGCACGCAGACGGAGTGGGCGCCGGGCCCTGCTTTCGGATTCCCACGCCAGCCACTGCACCCCGAGCTCCGCGGGCCCACGGCGGTGACACGTGCGTGCCCCGGGGCGGCCTCAGCCCTGGACTCTCGGTGTGTGAGCGGGTTCCCGCAGCCGGCGGGGTGCAGAGAGCTGCTGCTGCTCGTCCGCAGGGACACGGCGGACAGGTCTGTCCCCAGGCCGGACAAAGCGCCGTCTTCGCTGGCCGCGTCGGCGTGACGGACAGGGTCGTGCCCGTCGTCGGGAGGGGGCACCGCCTGAGCCAACCCCCGGCTCTGGTCTCTGACGCCGGCGCCGTGTGCCCGGTTCGCAGGTGAAGTGACCCTGGGCTTTTCCCGTCGTCCGGGAGGGAAGAACACGGTGCTCTGTCGTCTTCAGCCCCCCGGCCGTTTCCCTCGTGACACCGTCCGTCTGGAAGGAGCCGTCCTCCCTCCTCTGTCCTTGCTCGCCCGGGACAGACGTGGCAGCAGGAGCCCACACACCTCCCCAGCCTCATTCCTCGGTTCTTTTGTCTTTGGCCCCAAAATGATGAACTGTGTGTGTTTTGCGGGCGAAGTGGACGCTCGTAAAAGAGAGGTTCAGCTTGGGGCGCTGGAGTGACTGTCTGAGGTCCCCAGCGATGTTGAGCAGGATGTTGGGGTCACAGGTGTGAGGGGGGACCATCCGCTCGGAGGGATCGGGATCGTAGACTTGGGATGAGGGGGACACGTAGGCAGAAGCGTGCGGAACTGGGGGTGCCATTCACCCGTGGGGGCTCCATCCGGACGCAGACTGGCCCAGTGACCCCCGGTGGGTCACTTGAGGGGCTGGGGAGAAGGGAGGAGCCCGAGTGCTGTCCAGACGCTGCTCTGGATGACAGCATCATGGGTGGCGGGCATCGTGAAGGACAGGGACGTGGCGAGCGAGGTCTCCTGGGCCCCCGGGCGGCGTGGGCACGGGGGCAGAGGGTGCCGGGCGTCCCTGTGAGATTTGGCGGTGTGGCTGCAGGAGATCACCGCCTCTCTGCTTGCACAGCCGTGCAGGTGGGGTGGCCCGTGGCCAGGAAGTTGCACAGGACAGAGAGGGGGTCCCGTTCTGCGTGTGGGGCGCGGGGGGCGCAGTAGGCGACAGTCGTGGAAGAGGAAGCGAGCGTCGTCGGCGGTGGGGACCCTGGCGCACAGGC